ACAAATAGGACCTACCCCCATTTAATGAAATGGGGTTTAACGGGATTTAATAAAATCCAGAGAGGTAAAACAATTTGCCTGAGGTCACACAGCCAGCCAACCATGAAAACAGAAGCGCTGGGTCCTGGACAGTCCACCGGGCAACACTCTTTTCAGAGGAGCTCCGTGTTGCCAACCCCGAGTGCACGCATTCACTGCTGCAGAGAACTCAACCCAGGAGGCCCGGATTTGAACAATACTCTGAATCTACAACCCCAGGTTACAGAAGCAGCTCATCACGCCGGTACCGGGGACGGGAGTGTTGCCTACACACGGCTGGAGTTTGAGCCACATCAGGTTGCCACAGGAAAGCTGGCAAGGAATAAGGACACACGAGGTCCATGCTGTCATTTGGGACCTTGAATGATTCTTCCTTCCTAGGTCTCCAGCTGCCTGCCATCTACTTCTCTGCTCCCCTCCACACACAGCTCCTCAGCAGGAGTCATCTACACCACTGGCTCTCCAAAGGGTGGTCTGGAGCGCGGGACTCCACGGAGCCAAACCTTTTCATGCTAACACCAAGACACATCTGCCTTTTTACTTTCCTCCTCTCTGGCACGTATGGTGGAGTTTTCTGGAGGTTACGTGATGATGAGGGACGCGGCACCAGGTTAACGTCAGAAGCAAGATAGGAGGAGAACCCAGCCGACTGACTGGCGGATGGCGAAAAGATTTGCAGAAATACAAAACTCTGCCGCTAGTGAGCAGACTCCCTCAATTTTTGTTTTTGAAAATACTTCTCAAAAATAATGATGCTTAGGTTAAAGTGTAACTGACTTTTGTTCATTTGAAAGGAATATTTAAAACATTTGTTTTAGTTTTTAATTCTGCCAGTATCCATAGATAGAACCCAAAACGGGACCTCTTTGGAGCCCTCAACTTCAGGAGGAGAATGGGAGCCTTCAAACCACAAACTTGGAGAGTCCATGGTCTCTCTTTCTCTCACGGTCCCCCACTCCTCTCATTTCCTCTCAAACCCACCCCATTATGTGCCACCAAAGTGCCTGTGAGTGCCAATGTCTTCCTAATCCCTGAAGCCAAAGGCCAGTCCTCCTCAGTCCTCCCCTCCCTCAACCCACCGGCATAAGGACCACGGCGGATGCCTTCCTCCTGCTGGGGTCTCATCTTCATCCCACATCCAGGACACCGGACCCAGGTCTCCTCCCTCTCTGGCTCCTTTCCTTCTCCCCAACCTCACTGGGGGATGGCCCAGAGCTCGGTCCCTCTTTGAACTCTCTGTGCCCACTGTGGCGCCTTGGCACTCTCTAAATTTGTTACCTCTAGACCAGATCTCACCCCTGAACCCCAGGCTCCTCTACCTGTTCTACCGCTGTGCATGGACTCTAATTCGGCCTTCCAAACTTTCACATGACAGCAAAGCCTAACTTTCTCCAGCCAAACCTGTTCCTCGATGCCCCTCCCATCTCATTTGGTGACCACCCCATCCTTCCACAAGCTCCCAAAACCTCTAAGTCATCCGGGATTCCTTTCTCTCCTACCATTCAATCTAGCAGGAAATTGTTGGCGACTTCAAAACTCGTCCCAAATCCAATCCCCCCTCCCTGGCTCCACTGTTCAAAGTCACCATGCTCTCACACCTGGGTTGCTACAGTAGCCTCCTAGCTTATCCCCTGTCCTTTGAGGCCTGGCAGCCACAATGATCCTTTCAAAAGATCCAGACACACCCAGGACTTTCCACCTTACCCAGGCACAAAACCCCAACTCCTTACAGTGGCCTAGAAGGCCTACCCTAGTTGACTCCTGGTTATCTTTCTTCTTTTCTTACACTCCCCTCCCTGCTCTATCCAGTCTTTGAGCCTTTATTCTGGCTCTTCCCTCGGTCTGGGATGCTTTTTCCCCCCAACAAGGAATCCTCATGACTCACTCCCTCAACTCCTCCTAACCTTTACTCAAATGTCACGGTCTCAGAGACCCACCCTGATCTCTTCCACTTAAAAGTACACCTCTACCCTCCCCCTCCCAGTATTGTCCTGCCCTAAGGCCCCCAGAGTACTGAGTTTTTTCAAACGTATTACTTGTAAGTCCATCTTCCCAACAGAATGTAAGCCCCACAACTGCCAGGAATGTTTGTCTATGTTATCTACTACCGTGTCTTTGTGCCTCGGATTCCCTGGCAAATAGTTTCCCAACAAGCATGCTGAATATGTGGAATTAGCTTCTCCAGCTATAAACCTTAAATGGGGAGCGGGGTGGGGGGGCAGGGGGGGAGGGCTGGACAATAGTTCATCCCAATTCAAGCCTCTGATTCCTTAAACTGGCCAGATACAGCTCATGTCTACCACAACTGCTTCTTGAAGCTTTTAGCAACACAAACGAGGGTCAGCTCCTGCTCGTACAGACCCGGGCCCAGGCCCACACCTCTCAGTGCCCCACGGGGACAGGCCAGGCTGTCCAAATAGGCGCCGACTGACCAATTGTTGTCCTCACTTAGCAGTCAGAGCCTGCGACGCTTTGCGGGGCTACATGCCCCATCTTATCTTATGTCAAGGTCATCTATTCCTCCTCCCTGACGGAACCACCCCTCTATGAGCTAGAACTTTGCCCTCCAACACAGCACAAATCCCAGCTGTGGCTGTCCAAACAGAGCCCTGATCTCAATTCGTTGTGACAACCGCACAATTCTAACCCACATTCAGGTCTCCCCTCCAATGACAACCTTCATCCTACCCCAGGGCAAACTTGAATTCTAAGAGGTTTTTTAAAAGCAGAAGGAAGGAGATGGAAATGAGAAGTGACGCATGAAACATGACTCAAACATGGTCTCGCCAACCCTTTCTGGGCCCTAACACAGCACTGTCCCCAGCCGAGCTTTAGGGAACACTCTTTCTGGGGGGCCGTGGGACAAACTGGCTTGCATCTGGAAAGTGCTCAGTGGTTGTGGAAAGGGAGAATTAACCTGGTGACTCAATCCAGAAGTTCACGGAGAACAGATGTGACCAGGGCTCCCCTCGGCACTCACCGACAGCAACTAGCACGCTGAGGGTGATGCACGGAAAGGAAGGGACTAAGAAGCCACCCGGGGACCGAGGTCTTTTGTGTCCAATGTGGCCCCTTGGATCAGCACCACCGCTCATGGCCTCATCTCAAGGATTCAGCAAATTTAAGAGTAGCGAATTTGCAGGCTGCCCTAGTAAGAAAAAAAGGTAGAAGGCAGGGAGGAAGATACACCTGTCCTTAAATGAGGACAGTGGATGGATAAATGACTTCGCTCCTTGCAGAGCTGCAAAGGTGAAACCAGATGCTACCAGCCACCTGGCATATTTGGTAGTCACATTCTTTTCCCTCTTCCCACAAAACTAAGCTGAATGATGTGAACATGATTCAAATCTGACCAATATACCAGCCAGCACTTGTGTATGTATATTGCCATGAATCTTCCCAAATCTGAGTTAGTTCCTTCTACTTTCACATCCGGCCAGCTGTCTTGCCAACTGCCTGCCCCGAAGATCCAGGCACTCCTCCATCCTCAGGGCTACTCAATGTCAGGTTCAACAACATCCCTCCTGGCGGGAGTGAACTAATTGGCCCGTCTGGTCTCGCAGGCTCCAGTTCAACTCAACTCGCATGTGCCGGAAGTTCCGAATGGTCTGCAGGTGGTGCCCAGATGCCTACGAAGTCAGGGTCAGATTCCAGGGTCCCTGGTTCCACCTGATTTCTGATCTTATATTCCTTGCTCACACCTCAGACTCAGGTCCAACTGAACCACCTACCACTGCTGTTGCTGGCACACACTTTGGGGTTCTCCACCTCAGCTCCGTCTGCTCTCCCGGCAGGTCACAGTCTCTACCACGGGTCTGCGTTCTTCACTACCCCAAACCAGCGAAGGCACTCAAAGGTGCCTCTGGCTTCAGGTCCTCTGTGGAGGCTATAGTCCTTTTACCTGGAATGCTACCCAGACCCCCAAATCCCCAAGTCCCCTAAAAGGCTCATTTCCCTTAATACCATAGGTCCTTTGTGGTAAAGCAACTATGGTAAGTACTGACTAGTGTTTCTCTCCCCAACTAAGCTGCAGAATTCATGAGGATGGGGCCATTTCTGCATTTGCTAACCACTGCAGGGCTCAGCACCTGACAAACGAAAGCCCGAATCAATCTCTTAAAATAGGCCAAGACTTCCATATAAGAATATTCACTCCCACATCATTTGCAGTATCTAAGATGGAGAAAACCCATCACATAGCTAAAGTAGGCGAAAGGTGGGGCGCCTGGGTGGCTCAGTTGGTCAGGCGGTGTCCAGCTTTGCCTCAGGTCATGATCTCATGGTTCATGAGTTCGAGCCCCAGGTCAGACTCAGTACTGACAGCGGAGCCTGGAGCCTGCTTCGGATTCTGTGTCTCCCTCTCCCTCTCTGTCTGCCCTTCCCCTGCTTGTGCTCTCTTTCAAAAATAAGGAAACATTAAAAAAATAATAATAAAGTAGGCAAAAGGTTACATTACAGCACATGTAATGGAATGCCCAACGATCGAAACCGTACTTTCCAAGCATCACATGGGGAAATGCTCAGATTAGCGCTGAAAGGGCAGGACACAAAACCGTGCCTAAATATAGCACGAGCTAAACCATGCAGAATCGCACGTGTGCGCAGGAGGGATACAATGGGAGGGGGGAGCATTTATTCTCTGAAAAAAAGCCATCCGTACCTCTTTTGCACATTTTCTCCAGTAAATGTTTATTAAGGGATGAGGAAAAGCATGTCTAAAAAAACTTGAGACTCGGCTCAAACGCAACGTCCACTCAGAAAACTTGGCTAGACTTTCCAGCTCTTGCTCCACCCCACAGATCTCCTTCTCAAGACCTGTGGGGGGAACGAAGGGGGTTGTCTCTAATCGTGGTCTTGAACCCTACAATCTCCCCCTAACACCACGGGGGCTCCCCTAAGGGCCCAGGACAAGGAATCCAGTCCAGGGAGTGCGCATGCAGAAGGAAAGGAGTTACACTCACCTAGTTTAACAACACTCAAGATGCTTTGCCCTGAATTTTAAGCAGCACATGTGACCTGGTCCATTCTGGTTTCAAGTTCAAAGGCATCAGGCCGGTCCTGTGGGTTAGCAGCTAACATATCTTTCAAGAGCTGCTTGATCCCCTCAGACATGGAAGTCCTGCGTTTCTGAGGGATGTGCAACTCCATCTTTGGGTTTTCTAGCAGCGCCTCACCGACAGGGACGATCTCGGTCCCCTGTTTGATGTAGGTCCCCAGGAGCTCCTTCTTGGTCTCAGAGTCAATGAAAGTGATTCGTTCTATCATTGCCCAGATGATAATGCCCAGGGCAAAGATGTCGGCCTTGGCTGTGTAGTGTCCCTCCCAGACTTCGGGGGCCATGTAGAAGTCCGAGCCGCAGGCTGAGGACAGCCAGTATTTATTCACATTCACATTTTTGTGGTCTTGATGGCCCTCTTTTCCTCGGGGGGCCAACCCAGCACAGACCTTGCTCAGCCCAAAGTCAGCCACCTTGAGGATGGGGGTGCCAGAGCGCTCTGTGATGAGGATGTTGTCTGGCTTTAGGTCCCTGTGCACGATGTGGTTTTTGTGCAGGAAGGCAATGGCGCTCGTGAGCTGTAGCATGAAGCTTTTGTTGGTTGCCGGATCCGGCCTCCGGGACAGGACGTACTGATTCAGGTCTCCGCCTTCACAGAACTCCATGACAAACCAGAGATAGCAGGGCTCCTCGGCATAACCCAGGATCCTTTCTCCTAAATCAAAAGAAGACCGGAAAGAGCTTGAGTGCCACGGACACATTCACACCCCTTGTCAGACTACGGGCACGTGGCACGCTAAGGCAAGAAGGACGCTGGTGACAGTGCTCCAGTCCAAGAAGACCAGCAAGACTGGCACTGAGCCAACACTGCACACACAGGCCCATCCCTACGCACACAGGAGTCAGGGTCAACAAGGCAGGAGTGACACGGGCTGCAGGCACTGGTGTCAGACCCCTGGCTCGGGAATCACCCGACGCCTGGGTACTAACTGGCTTAATGCTGACTGGCTGGCTGAATAACCAGGAAGCAACTGCACTTAGTTCACCTTCCCAAGTTTGCTTCTGCTGTGCCACCTGTACAGGGCCACATGTAATCAATCACTCACGGAATACCTATGCTGGCACTTGGCGTTCAATTTAACATTGACCACCCCCCAGGAGGTAGGAGGAAACCACCCCATTGTAAAAGATGAAGAAGCTGAGGCTCACAGAGACTGAAGAGTCCAGGGCATGGTTACCGTGCCTCCCAACAGGCAGCATCATACCCCCCCCAGCTGGCGGGACTGCACACCGGACAAGGTCTAGCGTGCACGGAGGCCATTAAATGTCTGTTAATCCACCCCAGGCAAAGGGCCTTTCCTGCCCTCCCTCCTGCGACCTGTAGGACTTTGGTCAATGCAGCGAGAATGGCTGCTACAGTTTTGTTGATTTCAGAGCATACTCCAACCGGCGCTTCCTGCTTGCCCACCACAGGGGAGTTATATAACAGGCTCCTGTCTCCATAAAGTGGGGCTTCAGGGAGATAACAGGGATCTAAACCAGTAAGCATCTGAAGTATCTGCCTCAAGGTCAACGTTTAGGGAACAGGGAAGGGAGGGTGGAAGGTGCCAGATCTGGGAGTCAGGAGGGAGGCGCAAGACCCAGAGTTACATGTAAAGGACAGGCAGATCAGTGGGCACGGGGCAAGAGAGGTCCAGGGGCAAGAGAGGTCCAGGCTGAGAGATGGGATGGATAATGACACTCAGGAACAAATGGACCAGAGGCATAAACAGGAAGTCTGGCGGAACAGGGGAGTCCAAAGTAGACACACAGGTTTGAATCAAACTGCATGGGCCGGAAGCTCCTGCTCTTTCCAGAAGTCTTTCCTTTTGAACCAAAGAAACTCCAGGAAAGCTGCTGATTGGCATCTCCCAACCAATTCCAATGTTGTTTTTGTAGAGCAATTAGTGGCACACTGGGTCCTTCCAGGGAAGTTACTTGAGGACTACCTGCCCCCAGAGTCTAAACAGGCAGATGGATTATCTTGCTGATGAAAAGGCCAGGCCCGCTGGGGGCGGTCCTCTGGATCATTCGGGACCGATCTAATGACCGAAGAAAGACAGTCAGTCTTCAGATCCCTACTATAGTGTCCCTATTCCACCAGAGACCAAGAGCCACACCTCTTCCCACAACCTCCAAAGGCAGTCCGGCCGCCGGAAGCCGCCACTTTGGGGAGCTCTAGGCTGAGGCCAGACTGATAGATGAATAAGGCAAAAGCTCTGGGGTTTTGACCACGATCTGTCAGACCACACTTCCCCTGTAATTATATAATTTGTTTAGATTACTCACAACCAAAGCAATACAGGTAGAACCAGTTTAGGGCAGATGGGTGTTTTGTTGTTGTTGTTGTTGTTGTTGTTGTTGTTGTTGTTGTTAAATTAGCTCTTTCCCACCTCATAATCCTCTTTCTAGGTCACTGGCTCCGGTGGGCTGAGGTTCTTTATCTGAAAACACTGCAGGAGGATGCAGTGATCTGAAGCCCGGATCAATCCAGACTCCAGAGGAAAGACTGTAAAAAGGAGGGCAAGAAAGGCTTGCTGGTGGTACAGCCAGAAAGGAAGCGATTAAAAAGCCATCAAGTTCCCTCGGCAAGGGTGATCATCAGAAAACAGTGAAACTTTTTCACCAAAAGTGGGGAAATAGAGGGTGGGGAATGGTGATTACTTTACATACAAAGTTGGTAACCATGGCAACTAAAGTAAAAAAGAAAACAAGTGGCAAAACAGACTGCATTGTAGGTCCAGGTTAGAAGGACTCAGGGGAAAGAAAAGAAGGGTAAACAAGGACCCTAAGCAGGGAATGGGGGTGCGGGTGGGGGAGGGGGGGTAGATGGGCCACAGGAGCCAAGAGCTAGCTCTGGGGGAATGATGGAGGCGCAGTAGATGCCACATGAGGGGGCGCTGGGGAGAGAGGAAAGCACTGGTCAGGAAGCAGCAGTCTCCGAATCAGACACAGCATCAGCGAGTGTAACAGAATGGAAAACAGGGAACGGCGGCTACTTTTCCCAGAGGCAAGAGGCATTGCCCTGCATAGGCAGCAGCTGTGGGCTCATTTCGTAAGAAAACCGCAGTGTGTGTTTCTGTGCAGGAATCCCCAAGCTGCCTACTCCCTAACATATGAGGCATATGAGAATTCCAGCCCTTTCCTCCCGGAACACGGTCTACCTGGGCCCCTAACCACCTCACAGCAAGAGGGAGGGAGAGAGGGCACGTGGCCCTTGATGCATTTTTGCAATAATGCGGAGATGCAAGGCTGGGCAAGGAAACAGAGAGGTTAGGAGGTAAGGCTGGAAGGTGAGGGGGTCTGGGGTTAGATGCCAGCTCCACCCACTGGTTAACTCGGTGGTTTATTAGTTCAATGGTAAACAAGGAGGGACGGAGATACCGCAGAAGGATGGCTAGAACCTTGGGCAAAGGTTGGGAGGGAAGGCCAAACCTCTCTGAACCTCTGTCTCATCTACCCAATGAGAGGGACGCCTACGCCACATATTCCTGGGAGTTAAGTCTCGGGCAAAAGGTCTCCTTCGCAGAACCTAAGATACTTCGGGGAAAGGACATCCTAACCATCAGTAACAGCCCTCCTGGGCCTCAGCCAAGTCCGAGGAAGCCACGATTCCCACTAACCCTGGTGCTGTATAGGCCATGGAGTGAAGCTCCCACATGTTATGAACCAGAGGAGACAAGTCAGAAAATGAAAGCGGAGGATCCTATCGTATTGCTGAGGCTCTAAGAGCCAAACCCGTGTTCTAGCCAGACCAGATGGGTTTTGAGGTGCTCTCTCCCTAGAAGACCTCCCCTCTCCCCAGATCTCTGCAGGTACACCTGAATGTGAACCTTTGGGCCCTGCCTGAATGCCAGCCGACCGGGTGCTGGCCTGATCCCCCAGGTAATGTCCCTCTTTCTTCTGACCAGCCATGGCCCTAACCTTGTCATGTACCAAGGGGCTTGCACACCAGGGAAGGAAAAAGCGCTCAAGCTTCCAGGGATTACCAAGCACAGGATTCCTGGAGACACGTCACTGGGGTCCACCAGTCAGCAGGGGGCTCATGAAGGTCAGGTGACCCACGGGACTTTGGCACCCGTCCATCTTCCAGCGGGCCCAGCGGTCACCAGGCCACCCCGTGATTACCCCGTTTTGGGACGTGTAATTGGAATACTCATGCACCATCTAGTAGTTGAAACCTCACGTGAAGCTTCCAGTCTTTTTGAATGGACAGAAACAAAAGTAAATTTTATAATTCCTTTGTCTGGTATAGCCTGACAGTTCTGTAAGGTGAGTAGGAGCTAAAAATTTAGCTTCCCCAGGGGAGGTGGGGGTGGGGGGGGGACAGAAGACTGTTACCTCTAACTGTTAAAGGATTTGAGGTAAATTAACCTGGAAGAGGCCACTGGCCTCTGGGTCCCAGGCACCACTTAAGGGTCAACGTGGGAGCAGTCTCCTTTCTCTGGACACAGTTTTATCGGTGGGGAAACTAAACAAAAGGTTAAGTAACTTGCCCAAGATCATCACCGGCATGACTGGCTGGGTAGGATGTGAATGTCCACTGCCAAGTCCTTCTACCACACAACACTGTCACCTGGGTCCCAAGAAATGCATCTTGATTAAAGAAAGACAGGCCCACTTTCAGGAGAGTTTGGTAGCCTTCCCCTCAAGGCTAACAGCAGCCAGGAGACCACAAAATAAACTCGATTTCAAAACCTATTCTATGCCCCAGTTCCCTGGAAGACAGAAAATGGGAGGGGGAAAAAGGGTCAAGCAGGTGTCTCCCATCTCATTCCTCAGTGGACTCAGTAGGGTCTCAACAAAATGGCACCTGCTTTGTTCAGAGACTTGAGGCCTATAGGCTCAGCATAAGGACAAGTCAGTGTGAGCTTTGGGACAGCAGCAACCTCCTACGAAGGGAGACAAAATATCCAGGGGGTTATAAGCCTCTGTCCAGGCTGTCTCCAGAAGTTGGATTTCCTTGCTCAGTCAATTCCATTCAAACGTTTCCTGGGCACACACTGCCCGTCAGACACCGGACACGAGTTAACCGTAGTCTCTGCCCTCGCAAAGGATTCTGGTCTTCAAAGACAAGAGTGACTGACTAACCACAGCTAAGGGAGCAAGGAACAGGGCACAGTTCTGCCCGAGGAGTGGGAAGAGTGGTTAGGAGAGAAAGGCAGGCGGCCACCACTCAAGAGTGACCACTGAGCAGGGTCACACACCACACAGGGCTGGTGTGAGCTTGCAGCGAGGGACCCAAGTAACCTGGTCGGTGCAGAAGAGAAGGAGGGAGGAGATGGGCAGAAAGGAGGCTGGAGGGGAAGACGCTGGAGTCAGGTCAGAAGAGTCAGTGGCGGGCAGACTGAAGGATTTGAACTTAGGCTCTGAGAAATGGGAAATAAAAGCTGTTGACGTATTTTAGAATGATACACTGCTTACTGAATCTTAAGTCCCTGATTTTAAGACATACCGTTTACAGAAGACGGAGTGGCTAATACACCACCACCCAGCACGGTTTCAGCTGGGTTCTGAGTCCCAAGATGCTAAAGGTCTCAGAATCGCGGAAACAAGTTCCTTCTGCAGGCACGAGGAGTTAAAAGATAGAAGACAGACCAGCAGCTGAGCGATTCAGCAAGAGTTTCTGAAACCCAAAGAACAAAGGGCTGGCAAGGGAGGAGAGAAGGGCATGGA